AGTTGATTGAAAGTTTCTTACTTTGAAGGCACTTAATGGCTCTGGGACAGTATATTTTCCAACTCTTTTGGTCAAAGTTTGTCTTTAGTTGCTTGCTGACATCAAAATCCACATGCTATTTACTGGTAGTTGGTCCAAAGAACCACTGGACTCACTTGAATGGGCACATTTCATCTTTGCTTCCTGCTTGCAGAATAGATTTCTAATAGAAAAGCTAGTTACCCAAACCCTATCTGTTTCTGAATCTGCAAATGAAATGCAACACACATTTTCCAGAACCTTTTCAGATTCTTAGGTATGTAAATTAGATTAACAGAAAATATTCACCAAGAGGCTTAAACCCCTCCCTGCTCCAAAAATCTGGATTTATTCTTTTCTTTCCCAATTGATTCAAAAAAAGCTACATGATTAAGAAACATGTACAATATATTTAACAAGATACCAGACATAGACAGAGACATAAAAGAAGACATAATCCTTCACTAAAGGATTTTTTAATCTTGTAAAAGAGACTAACTGACCCATTTACATTTTGATATATTAGCTATGCTGTATATAATATATAATAAGAACGAGTAGTGTTTCCCAAGTGATTTTCTACTGCAGTCTGTTTGCAGTAGAAAATCACTAAGGATCCATAGGTCACCCCAGCCAAATTCATGCCCTTATTATCATGTGTGTTCCCAACCTGCCAACCTGGGCTGTAAAGTGCAGAAAAATGACCTAGAAAAGACATCAAGCTTCTTCCTTAAGCTTTGATTTAGTTTCAAGAGCCCAGTTTTCCATTTCCTTCCTCTGATTCCTGTTGCGACCCCCCCTTGTGGCTTTCCAGACATACAAGATGCTCCAAACCCACACACAATCTCTCTCATCCTCTATTTCCCACAAAAGAACACAGAAAAGAAGTTCTAATATCATAATATTACTGTATTACTACAGGTAGAAAAAGTAAAAATGGAAGAAAAAGTTTTTGGTAATACCTTTGGTTATATAATCAAAATGTCCTACGCATAGAATTTCTAAGATGATAGGCGTGTTACCCACTTGTTTTTCTTTTAACAGACTCCTAATGTGAAGGTATGTGTATAAATGCACCTTGTCAGTGAAATTAAAGGTCTGTTGGGAGAAGCCATCCTGCATTATTCTTTTCTGGTTATCATTTGCTAGAACAAAAATAGTTGGTTTTTATTCTTTAACTTAATTGAGAGCCAACTTTATGACACATAGGTGACATTTTCTCTTAACAAACCAAGTATATCTTGCCTCCACTACTAAATTGCAGATTTCTTAAAGGCAAGAACCACTTTTCAAATATGTTTGAATCTATCATAGTGATTTTCACTGTTGAGAAACCATCATCAGTGTCTAAAATGTAACGATTCACTGTTGAATGAATGAAATGGTTTTGAGATTGACAGAATGATAGAGCACAAAATGTCTTAAATAACATTCGATCTAAGATCTTTAGTTTTTAAATGGGGAGTGAGTCACAAAGACAGTAAGTATTTTGTATAATTATACATATCCCACTTATGTCAGGTGTGAGAAATACACGGGTCATACACCCAAATGTTTCATTTACTTTTATTGAGTACTTATTCTAAACTGGGCATCTCCTTCATGATATAACTATATGAGAGGTAGAGGAAATGGTATGGATTGTCTCTATTGTTCTTGCTAACAGGATCATTCACACAGATGCCAAATAGATGCAATATGGCTATTTATTTAAATCATCTAAATCCTTGCCTAATGGACCAATTTATTGACAATATAACTCAAGAAAAATCTGCAAACTAATACTCCTGACATTTTCAATTAGGGAAGATACATCCTTTGTACAAAATAAAAAGATGTAAAGAAAGAAAATAAGATGATTGAAAATAAAATCTTGTACTAATGACATTTTTTCCTTCAGATTCTCTGATTTTACCATTTTGAGTTACTGATTCATTGTTCATGCCAGTTTTCTGAAGTGGTAGTTTTCAATTAAGAATATCATTGACATTGTCCCAAAAGTAATACACAAATAGTAAATACTATTAGGCATAAATAGCCCAGTACTATTCACAGAGATGGCTTTGAGAGGTAACACAGACACATGACTGCAGACTTTCAGGAATGACTCACGGGCATAGCACCTGAATCCCTCCAATGTTGGCAGTTAGGTGCCAGGTGACCTTGGGTGAGCTACTTACCTCTTCTGAGCCCAGTGTCTTTATTTACAAACAAAAGGAATTAAAATATGTAATCTCTAAAGCCCCATCTAGCATTAAATATTCACAGTGATAGTCATTTACATGGATATTAAGTAGAAACAATTGTAAATTGTCTACAGAGTTTCTACTAAAGACTATTCATAGTGGAAGTCCTATTTGCACAATGGCCCAGCAGTAATTATAGGATAAAAGCTCCAGCACTGTCCACCACAAAAAATTGAAAACTGAGGGAGATGCCTTGAATGATGTGGTCATTGAATGGCATTCTGTTTTTCAGCTCTTTCTGTCAAACGCATACTTTACAGAATCTTGGTAGTCATTTTACTTAGTACATTTATGCTATGCATATATCTTTTTTTTAATTTGGCAGGTTTTGTTTAGAAATTGCCAAGTTTCAGTTAAAAATATAAATGATATGTAGAACATTAAGATTTATATTTATCACACTGCTTAAAACATGGATGGATAAGGAACACTCACTGTTTATAAGAGAAAGCTAAAGAGGTGATATGGTTAAAGGCACAGCCATAAAATGTGAAATCTCTTTCTTCAGTTTTGAATAATTTCTTTCTTAAACATGTGCAAAAATGAAAGTGTAACTCTCTTCAGGGCCAAGAACTACAGTGATATAATTTTTGTAACTACATGGAAAAATTAGTCCAGTATTGTAACACTATGGATGCCCAATTAATCGTATTAAGAATGTGAGATCTCACCTAGTTGCATTTCACATACACCAAATTACTAAGGACACTGTGGTGGCCTTTTTATCACTTTAGATTTTTATATAATTGATGGTCTGGTTATTTTTTTTATGAACCAATAGAAATTTTTCTATTCTAAATCTCCCCAATGTATTCAAGTGTTTTTACCCCATAAGTCCATTGTCCAAATGTCCCTGGAAACAAGTGAGTTTCTTAATGTATGGGTTTCAGAAACTCTTCATATAAATATAAAAGGAGATCACTTATTTCCAACGGCTTATACAGTATCAGTATTCCCATTAATGCAGTTGCTTTTCTAATAGCTACATAAAACAGATAAAATAATGAAACATTTTAAAAATATAAATTATTTAAGTACAAAGGAAAGCACTATAATAAAGATTTGTGTACTACTGACCTAGATTATCAGCTATTAACATTTTCTATATTTGATCAGAACTGCAGAAAACATAAATCACTACAGGTACAGTTGAATCCTACTTTGTACTTCTCCACTTTCCCAATTTCTCCTTTTCTCCTCAACAGGTACTGCTATCATAAACATACTACAACAATTTATCACATTCTAAGTCCACAAAGTAAAATTCTACAGACCACATTCTTTGCAAAAATTAGAAATCAATAAACAGTATAAATCACACATGTACATGAAAAGAATGCCTACTCTCATATTGACCGTGGAATCCTATATAAGTTAAATGGGTTTTCAAATCTTCTACAATTATATTACTTTTTGATCCAACACTTACTGACAGAGGAACATCAAAATTTCCTGCTATCCATGACTTTTGTTTTAGATATTTTTCTGTATAGTTCACTCCATTTGTCTTGAATATTACAGACTAGAATTTTTAACCTTTTTAATGTTTTATTACAAATTGATAGATTTACATCTTAATAATTCATTTTTCCCAATAAGATATTTTTTACGGTATTAATACCAGTATATCTGCTTTAGGTTTGGTTACATTTGCCTACTTTTGAAATAACCATTCTTTGATTTGCCACATTTCTCTACCCTTATGTCTCTTTTAAACCAAATACAGGAGGTTAGTTTTGTTCTTTTATTCAATGTGATGTTACCAATTCACTTGCCAATTTGGGGAGAGGTATATCCACTTACATTTATTTTGATTCCTGGTATATTTATATTCATTATTATATTATGCTTCTTTACTTTTTCTGTGTTTCTTTTCAACCTTGTATTATATGCATTATTTTAAAATGCATTTTCCTTCTGCTACTTTTTAAGACTTTATTTTAAAATCTAAACTAGAGCAGTTTTAGGTTTATAACAAAGTAGAGAATTATTTGTTTTATGTCTGTCATTTAATAGATATACTTATATTTTAACATAATTATTCTAAAAGTATAAAGGCAAAGAAAATCTATATTCTCCTCCAAAATACTACAAGGTTTTGAAATATTTTAACTGATTCTTTTTCTCCCATTTTATTTTTAATTACTGTGCAGTATTTTAGTTCTATCTTTGCTTTATATCATATAAGTTATTATTTTCTCCTTCTTTCCATAGTTATCTTTCTCCTTGTTCCCAAGTGTATAACCTAACATATTAGATTATGCTAAATCTTGGTTATGTTACCCATTCTGTTAAACTGTCTGCCTAGCATCTGTTTCATAAGCATATTTGCCAAATAGACCTTCCTTTTTTTTTTTTTTTTTTTTTTTTAGACCTTCCTTTTTTATATTCAACCAGAATTCTCTAATAAATCTATCACAAGATTACAGCCTCAAACACAGTACTGAGCACATCTGAGGAAGAGTAACAAACTATCTTATTCATTTTATCATCTCATTAGAAATACTACATCTCTATATTGCTACACTTAGAAAACTAAGGGAATCTTGAAGTATTCTGCTTGGCACTGAGTCACATTTTCCTGTCAGTTTTTAAAAGCTGATTCCTGGCTGCTATTGAAAATGTGTTCTTCTCCTGTCTGAATAGTTAAACTCATCTTTTTGGTTTTGGTAAATATGTTTGATTTAAAAGCTCGACTGGCTTCAGAGATTGGAGGGGTCCAAGGAAAGTACCTACCTGACCGGCAGTGTCCAAGATGTCCAAATAAGCTGGCTCATTGTCGATCCTGACCTGGGTCTTATAAGCATCTTCTGAAAAAAGAAACACAAGACAAAAGTTTATATATAAATATTGTTCATGGAAAAGGCATGATTGATTTTTAATTTCATTTAAAAAGTCTCTTTCTAAATAGGTTACTAAGTTAGAGAATCAGATACTCTAATCAAGTAGGGTACATAGAGTGAGAAAGATATGACCCAGGAAAATATAGGAAAGGGAATTTCTGGTTAAAGTGAAGTCAAGTGTATTTCCCCTTTATCAGGAGAATCTCATGATTTGAGAGGCCTTGGTTGTATTACCTAGAAAAAAACCATGAAATAAATGTGTCAGTTCTTTCTTAGGCATGCACCACAAGTTTATATCCTGACATTATCCTCAGTGATGAAAGACTAAAAGTTTTTTCTTAAGATCAGGAACAAAATAGGGATGCCTGCATTAACCATTTTTATTTAACACAGTACTGGAAGTTCTAGTCAGAGCAATATGGCAAGAAAAAATAAATAAAAGGTATCCAAATGGGAAAAGGAGGAGTCAAATTTTCTGTTTGCAGATAACATAATCTTACATGTAGAAAGCTTCAAAGATTTCACAAAAGTAAAATAGAATTTCTAAACAAGTTTAGCAAAGTCACAAGCTAAAAAATCAACGCACAAAAATCAGTTGTGTTTCTATACAATAATAATGAACACTAAAAAAAGAAAATAATTCCATTTGTAATAACTGCAAAAGGAATTAAATACTTAGTAATAAACTTTAACCAAGGAGGTGAAGTTTTAATGTGTTTATTCATATACTTTCCCATGTTTGTAAATTATTTAAATGAAAACTGCAAATATCTGGGTCTGAAGCTCTGCAGTGAGAGCCAAGAATCTTATTTTATCTATTTATTTCCTCATCAATGCCAATCCCATTCTATATAACTCAGCCTGTTTAAATACCCACAGTGAGTATACCATTATTTGTGAAACATGGTGGGAATTTCTCAACCTTGAACTCACAAACTTGTACAGTCTGGCCACAGTCTTTATTCTGTTTTATTCACGATTTTTTAGTGTAAGTAAAGAGGCAACTGACTCACCACAAGAACACTGAGAACAGCATTGAATTTTTGCACAATTCAAAAATTATTTATAATACTAATTTTGAAACACATGTAAATAAATGATTCCTTCCACAACCTTTTGGTTTAGAAAGCAGTGATGATCAAGCACAGGAGGCACTTTTTCAATGTACAAAACTGAGCACCCCCAATTAGATTTCTGCTAGCTGATGAAGACAGGACACACACACACACACACACACACACACACACTCACACACTATAATGATCTATACTCTCGAAGAACTGATACAATCATGGTGAAAGATATATGTATATGCAGTGGGATGTTAAAATCCAAAGATATATAGGACATACAGCTTACCCTCCAGGAACGTTATTCCTTATGACTGTGCTCTAGAAGATGAAGTTGTGGGAAATGTAAGTTTCAGGGAGCTCAATCTACTGTGTTTTTAGCAACACACAGCCATTCTAAACCATTCAGTGTATGGGCAACCACACAGTCTTTCTATTTTTTATTCCACTGCTCTTTGTACTTTCACTGATCTTCCTCTGATAGAAGAAAAATCTTGTGGAATTACTTGCAATATTTTTTTGAAGATGCATAGGGTTGTTTTTCAATTTTATAGGGAAACATGAACAGGTACTTTGAAAAGTGTGCTGTGACCGGAGGATCACATGTAAGTCTTTCAGATTTCATGTTTGTTTACTTCAACTCATAGCCCCCAAAAAGAGGTGACCGAGGCCAGGAGCATGCTGAGTAATCCAGATGAGAACTTCTCTGTGTGATTATCTGAGCCCTAGATAAACCCAGCACATAAAACATATATCAAACAAAAGCTTCTCCTGGGATTAGAAAACTCCTTCAAAGAGACTTCATGTGAATTGGCTGGAAATTAAGCCAGGCCCTCTATCCAAGATTTCTTTCTCTCTTTTAAAAAATAACCATCAGAGCGCACAATCCAGTATTGTGAAGCTAGGTCACCTGCCTGGCCTCCATAGAAACTAATCCCTTTTATTTCCTCCCAGTAAATAATCTTCCATTCTGTTTCCATCCATCCACTCCCGTTGAGACCTCCCATACAGAAATGCAGTGACAGAAATACTCTACAATGCATGTAAACACTTCCCTGAAATTCAATCATCTGCTTATAGACCCAACCCTGAAGTGAGCTCATTTATCTTTCCAACCAAGAGGCCAAATCTACACAAAGCTGTATCAGGCAGAAATGCTAGCAACTGTCTACTGTATTGTTTGCGCAGAAAAGCACAATGGAGCCTCTCTTGGAGGTATCTACCACCATAAAATTCATTTGAAAACACTAATGTTTGATGTGAACAATTACATCTTTTAGGGTGTGTCTTCTTCACTCTTCCTCTCCAGCAGGGTCTTACCAGAAGAAATTATCAAACGCCTGTATTAAAGCCTCAAGCCTGTCACTAAATATTGATGCTATGATTGGCCAGCCATTTGATCTTATTTATAAGACGGAGACAGTAGTACCTGTTAGTCAATGCATAGGGGATCTATAAGGATCAACATATGTGGCAGGTATCATAGTGCTTTAAAACACCCAATTCAAACTTAAGGCATGTTACATTGTGATTTAAAAAAAATATTGCTTCACATTAACCATGAAATTATGTTAAAACTAAATCACTTTGGCTATTTATATTTGCTCATGTGGTGATGCTTTCTACCCAACAAGTAAACCAAAGAGGATTTGGCGGGATACATTTGCAATAATTATCAAAAAGATAAAAATTTTAATTACTGTATCTTGCCATGTATAATGCACACAAATGTGGGTGCATGTTATACATGGCAAAATACAGTAATCAAAAAACTTTAAGGTGTTCTGAAGAATTTCCCCAAAATAATTTAACTCCTTTGTAGAACAAACTCATGTATTTAAAGAGCTTTAAAATAATTTACTTATAAATATGAAATTAGGATAATTTAAAATTATAATATATAACAGAAAATATTAGGTGATCATTGAATTTTCACTAGATGACTATAAAAAATCTTAAGATAATTAAATACTTCTTATATGGCTTACTAGAATATCTGAAATATATGATAATTAGTATTATAGTGAAGATATATTTCTATAACTCTGAGCTAGTATACATCTCTAAGATATTAATCATTGATCTAATTTCTAAAAGGACAATAAAGCCCTGGCTGGTGTAGCTCAGTGGATTGAGCTCGGGCCTGCGAACCAAAGGATTGCAGTTTGATTCCCAGTCAGAGCACATGCCTGGGTTGCAGGCCAGTTCCCAGCAGGGGACGCATAAAAGGCCACCATACATTAATATTTCTCTCCCTTTCTTCTTCCCTTCTCCTCTAAAGATAAATGAATAAAAATTTTAAAAAGGACAATAAAAATATAAAGGTTTGAAGAATCTGTAAGAACTTTTAAAAATATATTTTATTGATTATGCTATTACAGTTGTCCCAATTATTTTCTGCCCTCTATCCCCCTCCACCCTGCACCCCCTCACCCTCCAGCATCCCCCTTTAGTTCATGGCCATGGGTTGTTTGTAAAAAATTACTTAAATAATCTTAATTGTGTGCATGTTCATGTATGTATGTGTGTTGTATATAAAACAGAAACATTTTACAACACACTGTATCGGACACTTTTACTTGAACAAAAAGTTAAACCATGGCTGAGTCAGCACTGATACAAGTCTAATGTATCGGTATATTTATCAATAATGATATCAATAGGGATTTAAGTATATAACCTGTGCTGCACACTTTGACAGGGACAGAGTCTACAATGTTGAAGAAGACGGAGTTGATTTCTACCCCCAAAGAGTTTATAATCTCGGGGAATACATAAGACTAAACAGGCAGTGACAATGAGTACGGCATTAGAAGCATTTGAAATGTGCTCATTGTGATAGGATGTGGCTCTTTTCCATAACTGAGGGCACAAAGGAGGCATACCAAAGTCCGCTTAAAGTTGGAGGCTGGTGATAGATAAAGATTTCACAGAAGTCTTACAAATAAACCTAGTGTGCTCACACAGTAGATTATTTTTGCTCTGAAATTTAGAAAACTACAGCACACTATAACATAGAGGAATTTTAGAAATAAATGTTAACTAAAAAGAAGCTCAACCCAAAAACATATATATTTATATCAAATAAAAAAAATAAATATCCAACTAAGCTATATTTATTGACAAATACTTTTTTAACTAGGATGGAGAACTACTTCGTGATGTCAGTGTTTGCTATACTTTCCGTATTTGGGTTATACTTTTAGTATTTAAAAACATTTAAAAGGGGAATTTTCTTAATTAATCAATTATACAAAAGAAGAAACTACCAAGTTCCAGTTCTCTAATTGTTCATATTTTATAGTAACACGATATTTGCACAAATTTAACCCATAAGTTAACTGTTTTCAATGATTTCTATTTCTTCCTCTAATCTATATCAATTTTTACTCGCATCTTGACAAATTCCAGATATTTAGAGTTCATGTCAAGTAAATTTCCACAATGCTAATGAATATTGTGCATAGGAATACAAAACAGAAAGATACCAAAGGGCCCTCCTGCCCAAAATATCTTCCTCGTTAGTTTGGCATTGTGCCCCAAATTGCCCACCTTCTGCTTTATTCTCTCTAGTTGAGATAAGCAATTTTATTTTTCAGGAACTGCCTATTAAAATGCAATGAAACTACAGGAGAGGTAAAATATTAAGCTATTATCAAGCACAAACACCTTACTCTGAGATTACTTTTGCACAAAATTAGCTGTCTTGAGAGAAACAGAAAACAGCCCCCAGGGGATGATCAGCAGAGATGATAAAAGCAGGATGGAGGGGAGGGAAGACAGAGCTAACAGCTGTGGCTGCAGAGACTGGGAGAGCACCAGATGAAGCAAAGGAGCTGCAGGTGACAGGAGGGCACCTGAGGACCAGAAAGGACCCCGGGTTTTGGCAATAGCCTG